GGTCCGGGCTGGGGATTCGAACCCGCCACCGTAGGTGTACGTGGCTGGCGCCTTAGCCGGTTGAGCTATAGGCGCCGAGCCTTCTATTTTTTTTAGTAGAGATGGGGTCTTGCTCTTGTTCAGGCTGGTCTCCAACTGCTGAGCTCAGGCAATCCACTAGCTCAGAGTGCTAGGATTACAGGTATGAGCCACTGCGCTGGGTGTGGTATAACTTCTTTTTAGAAAGTTACAACAATCTTCACTTCAGTTCAACATTTATAACAGCGGAAGGATCAGTTTTTGAAAAAGTAAGTAAGGGTTTCTCCAATTTTCCAGCATGCTTCTCTTAAACTTTTGCTATTGAAATCTCTCTTTTTTGAAGAGCTCACTCAAATAATTTGCAAAACGCTGACAATAAAGACGAGACAGGCAGGGATAGCCATGGGGACTCAGAAATTGAAGATGTAGGGAAACAAGAAACTGACTGAAAGCAAAGAGCAGTCGCAAAGCATTTTCTCTCCTTACCACTCCTACTATGTGCTTCCCATTGATGAAGGCCTCAAAGCCACACACAGCCGCCTTGTCATCCAAAGGAAAGATGTATTTTGCCTCGATGGGCACATTACTTTGATTTGTGTACGTCTGAAAAACAATGATCTGAAGAAGGGGAAAATGCATGTATTTGGTGAGATCATATGAAGCAACACTTGCAGGAACAATGACTAATAAAAACAATTTCCCATATTGTTTTAAATTCCTTCAAATTTTATCACCTCCCTCACATTTCCCAACCCTGACTTCAGAGACTAACACATTTCACTGCAGCAATGGCGAGTCCACATCATATGATGAAATACATGGCTACATATTTGTGTAGTTCAGACAGGTCTGCTAGAGCACACAGTCCTCCTACACACACTGATGTGGCCGAGACAACATACCTCTTGTTGGGACACCTGGAAAAACAGCCCCTTTCAGGGCTTTGATGCCTCCTTAGCATCATGTGGGCTGGAAACTATTCCAGAATAGTCCTTCTATCTGATCTGCTTTCAGGTGTTGGCACTTCCTCCTGGAGATGTCTCTGTGTCTGGCCCCCTCACTATACACCTTCTGGTGGCTTCGCATCTCCTCCTGCCTTGGTTCTTTGAGAATCAAGTATTTTCTACTCCTTCATTTGTCTGTCATCTCTACTGTTTTGCAACTAATCTTTCTAACAGACTGTGTTCATCACATCACTCTTTGCTCAGGAAAAGTCAGGAGGCTTTAAATATTTGAAAATTTAATAAACAACAGCCCTTCAGACCTATAATAAAATTTCAAACATGACAATAACAAGACAAACATATTTAAAAATTTGTAATTAATAATCTCTGGGAAGAAAGATTAGCCCACATCACAAAATCCCAAAACCAGAGATGCTGGCGTGGATGTGGAGAAAGGGGAACACTTCTACACTGCTGGTGGGAATGCAAACTAATACATCCCTTTTGGAAAGATGTTTGGAGAACACTTAGAAAACTAAAAATAGACCTGCCATTTGATTCTGCAATTCCTCTACTAGGTATATATCCAGAAGACCAAAAATCACACTACAACAAAGATATTTGTACCAGAATGTTCATTGCAGCCCAATTCATAATTGCTAAGTCATGGAAGAAGCCCAAGTGCCCATCAACCCACGAATGGATCAATAAATTGTGGTATATGTACACCATGGAATATTATGCAGCCTTAAAGAAAGATGGAGACTACCTCCTTCATGTTTACATGGATGGAGCTGGAACATATTCTTCTGAGCAAAGTATCTCAAGAATGGAAGAAAAAGTATCCAATGTATTCAGCCCTACTATGAAACTAGTTTATAGCTTTCATACGAAAGCTATAGCCCAAGAATATGGGGATCGGGGAGAGGGAGGGAAGGGGAGGGAGGAGGATGGCTGGTGGGAGGGTGATCGGTGGGACCACACCTATGATCAATCTTACAAGGGTACATGTGAATCTTTCTAAATGCAGAATATAAATGTCTTAACACAGTAACTAAGAGAATGCCATGAAGGCTATGTTAACCAGTTTGGTGAAAATATTTCAAATTGTATATAAAACCAGCACACTGTACCCCATGACTACATTAATGTACACAGCTATGATTTAATAATAAAAAAAAATAATCTCTGGGAAGAGACCAAAATGAAAATAAAGAAAAATAACCTATTCAAAAATGTTGTTCACACCTGAATTTACTGTAAGCTAGGCTGCCCCTAGGGGTGTAGGGTGACAGGCAAAATTTTTCAAGGGGCTCCTATAAGCAATCTGAGTCTTCCTGAATCCGTGGGTCAGGGTCCTCCTGGACATCCAATCTCTTGCTGTCCTACAAATGAATGCTGTGCTAGCCGGTGGGAGTGATCCCTAAAATTAGGGACTGGATACCACCTGAGAAGATGCAGAGGTGTGAGTTCTGGAGTTCCTCAGGGATCCAAGCAATTCTGCATGCTACAGTGGAAGGTTGGTCAGGCACCCACAAGGGAGGCACTGGGACTTGGGCACTGGGAGGCACGCAGGCACTGACTGGGAGGATGCCACATGCTGTCCCCTGGGCTGTGCACAGAACCTGTTCCTCTCTTGGACTCCCTCCAAGGTATCAAGGATCACTAAGCAGTTGTACGTGTTGTAGGCTCATTTTCTTCCTGCTCAGCAGACATGGGGCCCATCTTTGCATGTGAGTTCCCAGAGGTCAGGCCTGGGTCAGCTTCATTCTGTCTATAGATCACATTGCGTGATTGCACACTCAAAATGTCAGTCATTTTAGATAATGATGATGGGAGTATTTTTACCAGGACTTAGAACCCAAAGAAATACACTAAAAAATTTGATATCCTAATCTTCCATTAGAAAGAATTGACCTTGGGATACTCAGGGTCAATTTACAAGCCAGCTGTCTCATTATGAACTAGTGAGAAGTTCACCAAATTATGAGTTATTTCGGGGGCAAACTTTCCCAGGGTACAGGCCTCTTCAGGTTTGAAATATCAAATAATACAAGTTGTCTAATCCAACATAGAGAACAGATGCTGTAACATAATCATGCATTTCATATGTGAAAAAAACTGCCTTCCATCCTTTACATTCATTATATCTAATAGCCACAATACTGATGGGCAGATATTGTTATTTCTATTTTACACATGAAGAAACTGAGCCACAAAGAAGTTAAATAACTTTCACAAGGTTACAGTGCTAGAAAAGATTGGGCAAAGATTCAAAGCTAAGCCTTTTAAATTCCAAATCCTTTCTTTGTACAATCTGTACCACGTTGCACCATAGGGTAGTGGTTAAGAACCTGAATGCTGGCTCGGCGCTTGTGGCTCAAGCGGCTAAGGCGCCAGCCACATACACCTAAGGTGGCAGGTTCAAATCCAGCCCGGACCCGCCAAACAACAATGATGGCTGCAACCAGGAAATGGCCAGGCGTTGTGGCAGGCGCCTGTGATGCCATGGCACTCTACCCAGGGGCTCAGCTTGAGGCTCTGTCTCAAAAAAAAAAAAAAAAAAGAACCTGAATGCTGGAATCAGAGTGACCCAAGCTCAAATTCAGGCTTTATCTTATTGACAAAATGTTTCTGAGCCTCAGCTTCCTCATCCAAACAGTAGGCATAATCATAGCTTGCAGAGTTTGGGGAAAATTAAATACTGCATGTGAAAAACTCACCCCAGGGCCTATTCTGTATGTGACAGCCTAAATGGCTCAGGAGGGATCAGCAGATAGAGGACATTTCTCAGGAGCCCATGAGCTCCCTCAGGGGTGTGGGTATGGATCAGAGCAGACCCAGGGCACGGTGGTCAGCTGTATCCAGACCTCTCTTCCTCACTCCCACACCCTCACAGCACTGAGCTCCAGTTCTACTAGTGGCCTTTTCCTCTTCTCATTCCTTCCCCTGTGCATCTCCAAGGCTCCCCTCCCCATCCCGTGGCGGCTCCAGCCTCTTCCCCAACCTCTCCATGTTGCCTTCTCTCTTCTCTATGCTCATTCCTGGTGATTTAATCTGGGCTCATGACTTCAAACAGTGTCTGAAGGGGAGGTTAGATTTGCTCTTGCTGAAATGGCTCACTGTGTTTTCCCCAACTCACATACAGGGACTGGGGGAAAAAAAGTCCAGACCTCTTTCCTCCATCCAGAACATCTCAGAAGGGCCGCCCTGGCCCAGAGCTGCCCCTAAAGTCATCTGAGGACTTGGCTGTACTGTGCCACAGTTCAACATCTCCATTGCCTGGGCCTGCCTCCCTTATTGCCTTGCAGGTGCTTTTCCTGAGGACATTCATTGTCCAGCCAACTTCCTGAAAACAAATTCCCATCTAGAGCTGGTTTTCCAAGGAACTTGACCTAAGATGTCTCCTACATGGTCCTCTTCTGAGCATTATCCACATGGTGTCTAGAATGAGCCATTAAAACACAGGTCTGATCACATTGCTCCTCTGCCAAACATCTTCTAGACGCCTCCTGTGTCCTGGTAAGAGCCTCCCTCGCCTCCCTGACCCAGTCCCCTCCCACTGTCCCCTTTTCCACACTGCTCCAGCCACAGTGACTTCCTTGGTGTCCCCTGACCACATCAGGCTCCTACCTCAGGGCCTTTGTGTGTGCTGTTCCTTCTGCTTAGAATGAGTGGCTCCTGATGTCCACATGCTTTAATCCCCACTGCTTTCGGGGCTGCACACATCTGTCACCTTCTCAGCCATCCTACTCACAGGCTACAGCCCCCCCCTCCTTTGTAGGTTAGCACTATCCTCACCTAACCTTGTTTTACTCCTTTACCACGGTCATCACCTGCTCCCTCCCACTGCACGCTCCTCCAGGGCAGAGCTTGTGTGCTGTTTGCTGCTACATGCCTAGAGCCTAGAAAAGTCCCTGGCATACAGTGCTCAGTGAATACAGGATGAATATGTGAATTTTAGAAATGCATATAATCTTTAGTTCATGTAACTGTAATCAAATTCTCACTTATGACTTACACTCATTTAATTTATCATAAAACCACAAAGAACATACCTGGGCTACAAAGTCTATTATTCGCCCCTTGATGTGAACATCCTCAAGAGGAACCAAATTCCCAGAGAGATCCTGAAGGCCGGCCTTGAGGTCACTGGAAGACTTGGCATCTGGTAACTGGTAATCTACATGTTTAAAATATTACAGTTAGCTTTTCAAACCATCTCTGACTGGCCCTTTTATTATCCTTTCTTTATTCCTTCTCCATCTCTTCATATATTATATTTTAGGAAATACAAAGACATAGTATTTTATAATCTCCCATAGCCAAAAGTTCTGAAAAGTGAACTCACATGAGAAAAATGGAGACTGCAATTTCACAGATACTCTGCCTCTTTAATCTAGAGGCTCTGAGGTGTTATCTTAAAAACATAAATTTATCTATCACTTGAAAGACAAACATTTAAACATACACACAAATACAAAGAGGTCTTAAGACTATCTCAAGAAGTACAGCTGAAAACTCTTATCTAGCTATCTGTTCCCCGGCTTGTAATAACAACAGTCACTATTATTTATTGTGCTACAAAAATATTTTGGAACAATATGAAACTGCTTGGGTTTTCAATCCAAGGAAGATTAAATTCAACTCCTACAGCTCATTGAAAAATGTTCACATCCTACAGCAAGTGTCACAAAAACAAAGATACGGTTAATTATATAAATACAAACTGTTTTCCCAGATAATGACTCCCAGCGAAAAAAATAGAGTCTTCTCCTTGAACACACATGAATTCATACATTTCTTATAAAAAACAATTCAGGGTCAGGCATGGTGGCTCATACCTATAATCTCAGCACTCCGGGAGGCCAAAGCAGGTGGATTGCTTGAGCTCAGGAGTCCGAGACCAGCTTGAGCAAGAACTAGACCCTGTCTCTAAAAAATAGCCAGGCTTTGTGATGGGCACCTGTAGTCCCACCTACTTGAGAGGCTGAGGCAAGAGGATCACTTGAGCCCAGGAGTTAGAGATTGCTGTGAGCTGATGCCATGGCACTCTACCAAGGGCAACAAAGTGAGACTGTCTCAAATAAGTAATTCAAAAAACAAAAAATAATTCAATCACAGTAAAAAACATTAGTGTCTTTCTCCAGTCCTGTTAATTTCTATCCTAAGAGCTTAGGCTCATGATTTTTTGAGCCATGACCTTCATATATTTGTGCTACTACTACTAACATATAAGCTGCATATCTCAATTTCTAGAGCACCTTCCCTTTCTCCTTTAATCCAGGTCAATATTCCACCTGAGAGAAGATGAAGCTCAGAGGTCTTATTGTTTGTTTAAGATTGTAGAGTCAGCCGGGCATGGTGGCTCATGCCTGTAATCCTAGCACTCTGGGAGGCTGAGGCAAGTGGATAGCTTGAGCTCCAATTTCAAGATCAGTCTGAGCAAAAAGCGAGACACTGTCTCTACTAAAAATAGAAAAACTGAGGCAAGAGGATTGCTTGAACCCGAGTTGGAGGTTGCTGTGAGCTATGACGCCACAGCACTCTAGGGTGACAGCTCAAGTCTCTGTCTCAAAAAAAAAAAAAAAAGTAAAAATGATTGTAGAGCTGATGAGGTGGCAAGGTGACACTCATACCTCTTGGGCTTCCTGACCCTACAGCTGGGTAAGCTATCCACTTCAACTAGCCCATTAGACCTTCTATACTCTGACATCTTAAAATGGTCCCCACGGAGGGGAGGGAAACCTGCAGCCGTGGGGCCACAGGTGGCCTTCTGGATCCTTTACTGCACTCTTTTGACTGAATCCAAATTGTACAGAACAAATCCTTTTTTTTTTTT